AATCCTCATGTACTTTCCATCCTTGCCACATAGTAAAAGGGCTAGTCTTGACTGACAGCTTGCTTAGCTTGCCTTTAATGTTATGTCTCTTGTGCGGTACGTGGTTTTCATGATGACTGAACCCTCATTTCATTTATTGCTAACTGCTATACTTTCCATAACTCAGACAGCCAGCAGGTGCCCAGGGAGAATTTATTGAATGCATGACTCCACCCACAGATACTCTGAAAGTTCTAATTTTTGTAGCTCCTCACATGTCATGGAGTTTTTCGATCATAGTAGAGTGAAAGGCAAGATAGGGGCATCATTAGTTTGTATAAATTGCTTCATGTCTTGTTTCATGGTATAGTATAGTCAAAATAGGAAACAAGAACACCACTGTTATTGTGCATAGTGGGAATGATTATCAGTGGGGTTAGTAATGTACGATGTCCTTATGTGGATGTTGGATGTTGATTGGTACTTCATTTCCTTGCTAGATTTACTGTAAAAACATTTTTCTTTTTTTTCTTTTCCATATTTATTAGAATGGTGCTCCCTACTTATGTCTAGTGGAAAGGCCATTCTTCTAGGAATTGGGAGGATTGGGTCAGGTACAATGTTGCTGGTATTACCTGCATTACACTGGGAAGGCAGTTTGTTTTGGGGGTCTTGATATCCTGATACCAGAAGTTTGTTCAGAAGGTAAAAGTTGAGCTGAATAAAATTTCAAGATAGCAAAGTGTGAAAACTTGGCAATTTGATTGTCTCTTTTGAGCACTTACCTTACTTTCTAGGCTTCTTTATTGCCCAGGGAAGCAGTGACCCTAGGCATAACAAAGGTGCCCCAACTATGGCATCTACCTTCTCTGCATTGTTCCATTGTCCAGAATTAGTGTTGCTTGTACTCTTGATTCCCATTCCCTTAGTTCTGTGCCTGTCCCCTGAATTAGATACCAGGAGAAAAATCAGTTTGGAAATTAAGATATTTTAGGGAAGGGATTTGGAGCAGCATACACTTAATATAACTCTGCATGTCTTTCACTGCCTCCATGTCAAAGTTTAAATAAACCTTAGAGCACAATTTTACCCTCCCAAATTTCCCTTGTCTCTTATCTCTCTCTCCTTAGTTTATCCCATAAAAAAATCCTCTCTACTGCAGTCCCTACAACCCTTTTACTTGTCATGATGCCCACCCCTGCTTTATTGTTTGTTCTTTCAGAGGTTGGGATTCAATAGATCCTCTGCCTGCACTTCTGCGTCTGAGGTTTTTTCATTTTTGTACCTTGCGATAGCAGATCTACCTCTTGACTTCCTTGCTTTGAATGGAACTCAGTAAACCAGAAAGTTGGCGATGAGGTCACTTCTTGTAAGAATACACCCCTTCCTTTCTCAGTTTGATATTTGATATTGGCTGACATTGTAAAAGTATGCCAATAAGGGGCTTTCAGCTTTCTTTTCCTTAAGCAAAGTATTGGACAAGAGTCAAACTTATAGAGTATAGGGGAAGCCCTAGCACAGTGATATGAACACGGCAGACAAATGGTTGCTTTCAGCTTGAGAGAACTAGAGATAGTGAAGGTGGAACTAATAGTTCCAGACCTTGATCTGAACAGTGTCACTGTTCATGAAGGTTTTAGACTGATACACACTAAGGTTTTATCTTAACTGATTATAATTTTCCAGAGAATAAAGCCTTTAACATTATGTATTTTATTTTTTTTTTAAAGCTTAATCTTCTCACTAGTTTTTTTTTTTTTTAATTTATTTATTTTTCAGACTGAGTGTGTGAGCAGAGGAAGGACAGAGAAGAAGAGAGAGAATCCCAAGCAGGCTCCGCGCTGTCAGTGCATAGCCTGATGTGGGACTTGATCTCACAAACTGTGAGATCATGAGCTGAGTCAAAACCCAAGAGTTGGATGCTTAACCAACTGAGCCACCCAGGCACCCCAACATTATGTATTTCACATGTTTGTATGCTGTGCTCACAGAAAGTATGGGTGCTAATAACAGAGGAATATGCATTCTGGAGCTGTGGTCTCCAGAGCTAGATAAGAAGCCCAAGGTTGTATGCAAAGGGATGTTTGTAATTTATAGTGAGACTGAAAGTCTCAGACAAGAAATGACATGTTCATATTTTATGACTTAGGACCAAAACACCAGGATTTCATTTTGTCAGTATTCTCCTCCATGAGACACTGTAATGGAATCTTGTGGTTTGTTCCATATTTACTGTTTGTCACTCATAAAATATTTCCTAATGCAGCAGGATCATTGGCCTACAATTCATTAAATATTCAGTGTAAAAATTTTATAACATTTATGAAAGAGCACTGTACTTAATTAACCTGATTATTATTAAATGTATACCGTTAAGTGTATACCATTGCACATTTAGATTACAGGCTAAGTGTTGCTTTGCAGTTTACAAGGAACTTGAGGGACATCTGGGTACCTTAGTTGGTTAAGCATCCAACTCTTGATTTCAACTCTGGTCATGATCTTACAGTTCGTAGGATCGGTTTGTGGGATTGAGCCCTGTGCCAGGCTGTGCACTGACAACACGGAACCTGCTTGGGATTCCCTCCCTCTCCATCCCTCTCCATCCCTCTCCCTCCCTCTCCATCCCTCTCCCTCCCTCCCTCC